CTTCAAGCATGCTTAGTGTGAGGGATTGCTGAAGAGTCAATGAGTCGATGCAATCAGCTGGTTTTCCTTAGAAAACTTTGAATCAATCTGACTGGATGATCTGGTGAACTGGAAAGTGACCTGAGATGACATGATGTGAATTGGAGTTATAGAAATAAAGTGAATATATCATTAAATTATAAAACATGATTCCTGGGGTATATAGGCAGAACTAGAAAGGATATATATTTATACGTATCGGGTTACAGCTGTGTTTTCACACAGTCACTACCTCTGACATCACATCCTCAAGCTGCACCTTAAAACCAACAGAAAACTTTTTTTCCCCTCTTGACAGGAAGCTGAAACATTCAGGTGGACACCACATTCCCCCTGGTGCAACCTGTGGAACTATTCCTGCTGGTGAAAAGGAATGCACCAAGGAGGTCCTGGTGACCAAAGGAGGACTGAACAGGCTGCACACAGGGGGAGGATCATTGTTAGACCCCCAAAATGAGGCCTGAAAGTAAATATAAAGCAGTAAATATGAGCAAAAAGGTTGTTTGTATTTATATGACATAAATGCATTGAGGAATATTTTTCAGGTGGAAACACTATTTTAAATGTCACCATGTCTGATTTAAAGGTGATTAAATCAGCTTTGAGTCTGTGTGATTTTCTGTGTTCTATCACACACCAGCCCCTCCCATTTCATTGCACCTGATAATAAAAAAGATCTACTTATATTTCTAGAAGCGAATAGATAATCAGGCTATTAGCAAAATATTTCTGCTTTAGTTTCCTGCCATCTGCTGCCGTCCTTCTGTTAAAGCGACGTCTGACCAAACATTTCGCTGAACGCAACCAACAGCAGCAGCATTTCCACAATGAAGCAGACTTCTACTGATTAACTGTGTTGGGCACGTTACTTTGAAAAAGTAATTAGTTATAGTTATTAGTTACTTCTCCCAAAAAGTAACTGAGTTAGTAACTAACATTGTTGGAGAGTAACAGATTACATGTGACGATGTTACGTAATTTAATTACAAAAAAGAGTAACTGTAATTCTTTACAGTTACAATGAGAAAATATTAAGAATTACAAATTTAGTTACATTTAAAAAAAAAAATAAAGAAAAACCTTTGCGAAATATGTAAAGATATTTTATTGCTTAGTGCCCTGTATCGCCGTTTCCCGCTACGGCTCCTTGTGTCGGAATCTCTTTATACATCAGCCAATCCCATCCTCCCCTCCCTCATGACAAGCCGTACGAGTCCTAGCATGAAAAAAGGTTCATTGTGCGACCTGAGTAACGCGCAGTAACGGGGTGTCGGCATGGTAACTGCGTTATAGTTACAGTCAAAGTAATTAGTTAGATTACCTTGTTACTATAAAAAGGTAACGGCGTTAGTAACGGTGTTACCTTGAATGCTACCGTTACTTCCATCCCTGTTTAGTAGCTCATTCACCCACTGAGCCTGATAGCAGTGACCTGAAACCACAGAGGTCCTCAGAAAACCCTGGATTCAGCAACAGCAACTGGAAACCATGTAGAGAAACAAGGTAAAACTTCCTGGATGATGGACTGTTGGTCAACCAGCACAGTGAAGCTGGAGCAGTTCAGACATAATGAATGATTGGAGGTCCAAAGAGCGAGAAGAGCAGTCCGCCCCCTGCTGTTCAACGCGTGGAACTGGAGCCCCTTAGACCAAAGTCTCAGTGTCCTCTCTAAGGGAGGATGAAGGCATGAGAGGAGCAAAGAGATGAGAATAGAAGACCACGGAGAAGAAGGGAGGAGTAACTGCATGCCTTCAGGATTATTTAGGAGCTGTTTGTCTGCGAGGAACAGCTGCTCATTCAGGGAATGTCCAGGAATAGGAGGAGGAAGAGGAGGTGAAGGAGAGGAAGATGGAAGGAGGAAGACAAAAGGAGAGCAGAAAATACACCAAGAAGAAAAACTGTTGACTCTCAGTGTTTATTTAACAGAAACTAGTCCTCACCCCTGTCTGTCCCCTCTGCTACAGGCGAGGAGAACTGGTCATGGCCGGCCGCAGTCTCAGCTGGCGCTGTCCGTCAGGAGCCACAGGACTCTGAATGCAGGGACATGAGCTGAGCTGTATGGAAGCTGGAGTCCTCTGGGGTTAGACTGAGAAAGGGGAGAATGGACAGGGATGGGAGAACCAACATGTCCAAAGTTGGACATGGTTGCTATTAAACAGGACTTGGACAAATGTTTACAAAAGGATAAATAAAAAAACATCATAAACAAGGAAACAAACACCAGCTGGATTCAAACTAGCAGGACGCCTCATTTGGGCTGAATTCTGAGCAGGATTCAGGATTCAGGGCCGTTAGCAAGCATGGCTCTATTTCTGGGATGATTAGAGCGCTGATCTTAGAGCACGCATGATAAAGGAGAAGCTACGATTCACCAATGGATCAATATTTATACCTAAAACTGATATGTTTGCTGTGATTTAATGAATAATCAGTAAAAAAAAGTCTCTGGGAGCGGCCATTTTTTCCCAAATCTAGTAGCCCCTCCCTCCTGCCATCTTCCAGCAGTGACGTCACGGTGCGGTAAGCCTAGCGCCATTCTCCCCGCTTTCCAAGCTAAATCAATGGGAACTACTAGACACATCTGCAATCAACAACAATTATTGAAGATTTCCAGAGGACTTCACCATTGAAATTCACCAGAGCTATAGTGAAACTGACAATGCCCACGTGCATGGCAGCTGGATGCTGGAATACATCGGGTAAAAGTGAAAAAAAGAGTTATTCCACCTTTCTGATTCCTGATCCTCCACGGACGGGTTGGTCGTTGGATCGCCAACTTGAAGAGGGAGGATTTGCCATCGAACTTCTGGCCAGAGAAAAAACCCGTAATATGTAGCCAACATTTGGAAGAAGAATGTTTTCAAGATGACTTGGATAATAGCGCGTTGTGACAAACACCAGATACAGCACTGGGACTTGATCAACAGCCGATACCGCACCGTGACAATGTCACTAACCAGTAGGTGGCAGTAGTGTTCTTTGACAAACATGGATGCCTCCAGTAAAGCACATTCACATGAAAATTACTCTGAATTAAAAACACTGATTATTTATTGAACAGGATGGAATCATTTCAGATTTAAAGAACTTTCAGACGTTTGATTTTCAGAATATGAGCCACTTTTCCTTTTATACCCGATCAGTTCTTCTAACACAGCAGTGAGGTCAGACCAGTGGAACGAGCCCTGAAAGCCTCCATAGTCCTCCACCCCAATCACAGGCTTCTGCTTTCAGCTCAGAGATCCTCTCAGGTGATACAGCTCCTCACATGCTCTCGTTCCAGATGTTCATATCCATCATCTCCTCCTGCTGGTCATGATCTATGCCTCACAACCATCTGGCCGCAGCAGGGCCCACATTCATCCACGTGAAACTGTCAGTGCATCAGCTGCTCCATCCCACAAACACCCTGAAGAAGACACCGTAGATAAGATGGGAAGTCATCCACCTTAACATCAAGTCTGACCAACCTTCAGCTATTTTACCAAGACAGGGTCAAAACGTCCGTCTCTGGAAGGTCAAAGCTGCTCAGACTGCAGCAGAGTTCTACTGAGGGTTGACTCCAAACACAACTCTTTGTAGACAGCACATGAGAAAGTGTCCAATGTTGGTTCCTTTAGTCTCACCCCCTTCCTCTATCAAGGCAGGGCCCTGATAGAGGAAGAATCAAAATCCTCCTGAATCATTCCTTCACACTAGGGGTGCACTGATTTATCAGGGAAGATGGGTGATCAGCCGATACTAAGATGTGAAATTGATCTTTGCAGAATGATGAAAAAGGGGACCCCATTTCATCATTCTGCTTCATTCTATCTCTATTCTCCCACTCTGCAGAATCTGTTAGTTCAATCTCTAACGTTCTGCTCTCTCTGCTTTTTCTCATAGTAGCTTCATCTGGTCTGTTCCTGTTTGGCTGTGACTCCATCCTGGAGAGAAATATCAGCTGTGCTGCTGCCATCAACACCTTTGTTTCTAGATGTTGGAGCTTGGCCTGTTTTCCAGTGTAGTCCTGTTTCTCTGACTGTGACTAACTGGATGTCCACCCTGGACAGAGAGGAGGGGTCCATCCTGGACAGGTCTCCAGTCCATCCAGGGCAACACTGAGACAAACAGGACAAAAAACTATTCACACCTAAGGAGGATTTAGAGAAGCCAATTAATCTAACAATCATGTTTTTGGACTGTGGGAGGAAGCTGGAGTACCTGGAGAGAACCCACGCATGCTCAGGGAGAACAAGCAAACTCCATGCAGAAAGACCCCGGGCCGGGAATCAAACCTGGAACCTTCTTGCTGCAAGGCAGCAGTGTTACCCACTGCACCACTGAGCTGAAACGTTTTACCTATAAAACATATTAGTTATCTGGTTTCTAACATGGAAAAAAGAATGACAGGATTGGTCAGCTTGGATTTTAGAGCCAATTCTTAATCTCACTTCATCGCATCATTGACTAAACGTTCTTATTAGGTGTTTGGAGATGAACTAGATCTATTTTTTCTGAGTTTTTCCTCCTTGATGTCATAAAATGGCCGGACTCAGTGAGAAGTTGTGGTGAAGCTGCATTAGAGCAGAGCGTCCTCAGGTTACGGTGCAGACGATGGAGCAGGAGGAGGATGTATGATCGGAGCTGGGATGATGCAGTCCGTTAGGAATCTGCCCTAATCCCTGCATGTTTGAATGCATCTATGTGAGCGGGAAAGTTCTGTCCTTCCTGCATGGCTCACCGAGTCAGGAGTCCATCTCTAAGGAGAGAAGCTCCAGCTTCCTGAAGCCTCCCTGGGTTTTCCTTTTCTGACTGAATGTCAGTGAGCTTATCTGTAATCTAAGTATGGGGGCAGTGGGGGGGAAAGAAGGGGGATGTCCATCAGTAGATTGTAAGGAGGCACAATGCAAAGTGGGCTTTGATTGGTCAGCTCTGATGAGGGGGGCCCAATGGCGATCATTTGGAGCGAGATGAGTGATGGAGCAGAGGGTACTTATGGAGAAGAAGAACGCCACGGTGACGCCGACCCGTGTGGAGGAAGACTTTCCGTTCCAGTGTGTGACCTGCAGAACCCAGCGCCATGGTAAGACAGACAGGAAGATGAGCGAACATGAGAACGTTTTTTGATCTTTTCGGGATTTCTGCAGATGGTGATAGAAAAAGAGGCAATTACCTCAAAGGAAGATGTTTTAGGCCCATTCAGATGACTGTCCTTCTCTGGAAAACCAATGGACCGCCTATCGATTCGGATTTTTAGCTATTTGGGTCTCCTGGAAACATTTCTCTCTTTCTGAAACCTTTTCTTATTACACAGAGAGCGTTTCTCTGAAGCAGATCTATAAAGGAAGGAGTGATGCAGAAGATAAAGGCGCTCAGCTGTGTGGAGAGCAGGCGTGCCGTCTGTCCTGCCAGCTCTAAAATAGGACGGTCACCTTCAGGAAATCCCTTTCAAATCCTCATCCAGTCTCACCTTAAAAATAGCTCCAAGATGGCAGGACTGGTAGTGTTTTAAAATGCTGTTAGGAAAAAGGTCCAAATAACTGCAGAAGATGGGAGTGTTTAGACTATAGATAATATGGGAAAGTAGTTTTATATTATCTCTATAGTTTAAGGTTTAACTGAAGCACAGAAGCTACCAGGCAGAGTTAACTGGACCAGCAGACTCACATGACCCAGTGGAGTAGAAGAACAGCGTGTCTGAAGTTGCTCAACTTCCACTTTAAGAAGCGTCCTGAACGCGTTGGGCCAACTGCTGCTGGATTAAACCTCACGTCATGCTGATAGGAAGCTATTTCCACCTCCTGGCTAACAGTTGCAGACATGCATCTTCAGATCTTAGCTCCCTGAGGAATCCAGCTCCTCCCGACTCTAAGCTCCGCATGGGGAGGACATCAGGAGGTTTGGGGCTCTAAAGGGTTTCTTTGAACCATATTTTATGGGGGTAGAATGATTATGTGCAACATTAATTCATTTATTTATGATAAATATGTTTTCTTGGTGATCTGTGAAGAAGCCGCAACCCTTTAGTGGCCAGAAATAATCCTCTAGAACAGGCATCCCCAAAGTTGGTCCTTGAGGGCCGCAGTCCTGCAGGTTTTAGAGGTTTCTCTGCTCCAGCACAGCACATTTACATTGATAGCTGATTAACAGGCTTTTGCTGAACTGCAATCATCAAAATCAGCTGTGCTGAAGCAGAGAAACCTCTAAAACCTGCAGGACTGCGGCCCTCAAGGACCGACTTTGGGGATGCCTGCTCTAGAAGATTCTTCTGGTCTGAGATTTGATTGAGCTTTCAGGGCTTTGGTTGTTAATAAACATCTGGACAGAAATGTCATAATGGACTTTAAAGATCTGACCCCCATGCAGAGAACCAATCAGAGACCAAGGGTAAAAGTTAACTGGTTTATTGAGAGTTAGCAAAAACATAGATGGAGTCCAGGCTTATCCAGTGATACAGGAAGGCTTCCTGCCGAAGAACAAAGACAAAGCAAGTTTAGACTCAGAGAGACATGCTAAGGTTAGACTCTGCTAATCTTAGTTTGGCTAGAGTACCAAATACTGGCAAACACTCTGGTGTCCATGTTGTGACAGCCTGCTGCTCAAATACTCCTCTGGTAAAGACCCAACGAGCCGCAGGTGTGCAAGTAGGCCCAATGAGAACAGGCCCCATCTGGTGGTGGAGAGAAGAAAAACATTTAAAAAAAAAACTGGAATCCTAACAAGAAATCCATTCAACTGAGGGACAAAATTTGTGTCGGATGGGATTCAATTGGAAAATGATCCCAAAAACTAGTTTTAAAATAGTTGAAGCAAGTCCACAAAAAATCCTAAATTTTAACCCAATTGAAAATGTATGAACAGTTGATTCTTGTATGTAGAACCTCTGCAATCAGTTCTGGGTTTAAACCTGCAGACAGTAAAAAAGCAAAAGCCATTTAGTCCTAATTAAATCACTCCAGCAATATTAGATTTAGACTCTAAACTTTTAAACTTTATTTATCCCTTGGGATTCTTCCTTCGGGGAAACTCCTCTTCCTGTGGCTTATAGACAATATAAAAAGAGTGTATATAGTAACAAAAAGCATAAAAGAGAAAACTTGTAATTTCTCTGTTTTGCATGTTCAAAAAAAGATAAAATCGTCCCACGGTTGGAAAACAGTAGAATAAATTAGAAGGTACAAAAGAGCTGAAAAAAGTTTTAAAAAAGAGCAAATAAAGAGTAGAAACTAGAGAACATTAGAAACTAACTTCAGAAAAAACGTTCATGCAGAGATAGATGCATGTAAACCTCAGTCAGTATACTCTCTGCAGATTTCCCAAGAAGAAATCATCTATTGTTTAACTCTTAATAGATAAAACAGATAAAATAGGTATAAACATGTGATGCAGAACAGACTATAGGCTGACTGTGACCTCAGAGACCCATTTAAAGGAGATCAGAGAACAACAGGAAGTCTCCCTAAATCTGCTTCTGTCAGACACAAGATGTCAAAACAAAGAAAAACTATCTGAACTAAAACTAGCACTCTATAGAGAGAGCCAATCAGTGACACCGAGGAGGGGTGTGAATCTATTTCAGAAGAAGAGAGATGTTTCAAGAAGCTTTAGAAATGTAATTATTTAAAAGATAAATAAGTGCAATAAACTTATATCTTTCTTGGGTTTCTGTTTTTTAAAGTATTTTATAAATCCGTACACTGACTGAGGAACATAAAATAATTAGCAGCTGACAGCAGATGAACCTGCAGAGGCTCCTTTAGAAAAACCCACTTTGATTGAAAAAACAAACATCTGTTTTGTTCTTATGTTTTAGAGCCGCAAACATCCAGATTTTGCACGTTTTCTACATTAGTTGTAGTTATATAGTCTTTTCTCTGGTGCTGGATGTAAATGCTTACCTAGATGCTTTCTTGATCGCCTTCAAGATCATCTGCAAAGATCTTAGGTGTTTCTCTCTCCCTGCAACAAGCCAACATCTCAGGAATGATCTTTTCTGATATCACTCAGCAGACATGATGACCTCTTTTACCATCTTCCATCTTCTTTTCTACCTTTTTCTTCCACCCTCTAAGCCCACCGACGCCCAAACCGATGCCCGCTCCTTCCTGACTGAGGAAATGATAACAGGTATTTTACCCTTCACATGTCCTTTAAATGACCTTTGATTCCTTCAGATTTCCTGGACAATCTGCTGGTTTGTGCAAACTGAGGTGAAATGCCAGGAGGAGAAAACATCAAGATCTCATGTGAATTTGACCTGCTTCTTCTCTTGGGACAGAGTTCAAAGCTGCCTTCGACATGTTCGACACAGACGGAGGCGGTGACATCAGCACCAAGGAGCTGGGCACCGTGATGCGGATGCTGGGCCAGAACCCGTCTAGAGAGGAGCTGGATGCCATCATTGAGGAGGTTGATGAGGATGGTGAGGATGCAGTGAAACATGAAGGTTGACCTTTTCTGTGCTCTGGTTTCATGTCTGTCGTACCAAAGCACTGGTCCTGAAATGCTTAGGCGGGTCCCTGCATGGTTTAGATGCTTCCCTGCTGCTACTCAGCACATTAGAGAAGCTGAATGAGTTCCTTCATGCATCATCTTCAGGTTAAAGAAGAGATGATCAGGACAAACATCTCTGGACTCGTTTGACCGGAACCCGGTCCAGTCTCTGTCAGAACCGCTGTTTACGGCTCAGGTCCGAACAGGGTGTTGATGTGAGTCTAAATAAGGAGATACCCAGGGCGGTATTTGATTGCTGTGGGGGGGTGTTATTCATCAGCAAGCAATATGTTAGACTTCAGACTAGCTTTCTGCACAACTCAGGCCTGCAGGTTCAACCAGCATCTAAAGGCTGCTGTAGCATAAAAGGAAGAACCTGCAGGAACCCTGTTCCCTGTTCCACACAGAAAGAAACTCCATGTTTTATGGATCCTCCATAACACTGGGCTTACATGGGGCAGTCGCCTCACAGCTGTAGCGTGGATGTGTTCATCACACTGAACGCTGCAACTAGGCTGTACCAGCTACAGGCCCAGTTATAGAAACAGTGCTGGAGAGAATAAAAAGTTCACGTTCCGCGGTATTATAGTGGAGATTATCCCCGCCTGTTACCTAGGAGACCAGGGTTCCATTCTCTGACGAGGAGCCAACTGGAGTGGCGGCCTAGTGTTTAGTGCATAGAACTTGAGCCCCACTCCCACAGACTGTCACTGTAGGTCCCTGAGCAAGACCCTTAACCTTCACTACTCCCTGGGCGCCCCACGATGGCAGACCACTGCTCCCCAAGGGGAGGGGTAAAATGCGGAGGTACATTTTTCCAATGTGAGATCAATAAAGCTCAATTATTATTCTTAGGATGTGTGAACACGTTTTTTCCAGTGGTGATTCTTCTTAGCAGTGTGATGAACCTCAACGTCTGTCGTTGTTTCCTGCGTCTGGAAGCCCTGATTAGACGATCGTTTGTCGTATCCACTTCCCAAAGCCGACTGTGAAGGAAATTCACCAAAGGCTGCCTTCTTCTCCTGACTCTCTGCAAACTTCCTCAATGTTACAGGCGCCACCATGATGGTCTGCTTGTTTACCTCTAGAGAGCAGTAGTACCGTAGATTGCCACAAGGCGCTGAGGAACCGTGCTAGCGTGGCGTGGCGTGGCGTGTAAACGGTCTTAAGGAACAGAGCTTGGCACAGTGAACTGATCCAAGCTCGGCCGGGATCGGTTTTCAGAGGGTAGTGGAAATGGGGCTTATGTCTCTGTGTTGGCCTGGCAGCACCTTGGGCCCCCCCCAACAGAGCTGGAGGAGGAGTCTGGAGAGAGGGAAGACTGGGAGTCTCTGCTGAGACCCCCTAACTTACCTCTTCTCCTGGGTCGCTCTGCCGATTGTTTTCATTCACCTGATGGACTGAGGCCTTTATCTCAGAGAAACACCCTGCAGTGACAGCAGTTTATAGCCCAATTTCACATATTTCACAAATCTAACTTGAGAAAACCAAGAAGTTACTGAATGACAGTAAAATGTGTTTGACCCGAATCCATGTGTCCTCAGGCAGCGGTACTATCGACTTTGAAGAGTTCCTGGTCATGATGGTGCAGCAGCTGAAGGAGGACCAGGCCGGCAAGAGCGAAGAGGAACTTTCAGAGTGTTTCCGCATCTTTGACAAGTAGGAACCTCTGTAATAGAATCTCATTAGTTTCACTCAAGAAGCACCAAACTCTGAAAAATCTGATCTGTTAATGAAAACATTTTAGACAGAAGAAACATAAAGCAAAAACGTTTTGGGCAGAAGAAGTAAGAAAACACCTAATTTGACCACAGTGGATCCAAAATGGAGCAGGATCAAAAAATACCAGACAGGAACATGATGAGAAGGGGGACAGAAAACTTAACGATGCAATCTCACTGTGAGGAGTATGTTTGGGAGTCGCTGCTGGTCCTGCTGGTCCTGCTGGTCCTGCTGGTCCTGCTGGTCCTGCTGGTCCTGCTGGTCCTGCTGGTCCTGCTGGTCCCCAATGAAGAAAAAGACAAACATTCCAAGCACATTATTTCAGTTATCCTGTCATGATTTGTCTCAGAGCTTAGGCATCTATCCTGCTCATTGGAGGATATTTTCTGTATCCAGGATCACATTCTTTCAGTCATGATTTCTCGACCATAGGTGAGGGTAGGAACGTAGACCAACTGGTCAATCCCGAGCTTTGCCTTTTCGATCAGCTCACTCTTCACCTCAACAGACAGGTGAATTATCTGCATTACAGCAGCAGCCCAACAAATCATTCTATGGTTCGGCTGATCCATTCTCCTCTCGTGAACAAGACCACAAGACACTTGAGATCCTCCATTTAAGGCAGGAACTCTCCTCAAAGCTGAAGGGGACAAGTCACCTTTTTTCAAATGAGAACCATGGTGCCAGACTCTCATCCCAGCCGCTTCAAACTCGACTGCGAACTGTCCCAGTGCTTGCTTGATGTTGGCTGGAGGGAGCCAGCAGAACGAGATCTGCTGGGCCCCAGACCAGACGCCCTCTGGCCGTCGGCTGCTGGTGTCCCACATAGACCCGGAACAGCTGTACCTTAATGCTGCTAATTCAGCACAATCTCCTGATCTGCTTGTACAGAGACCAAATGGCCCCTAGCAAAGGGCCCCTGACTCTGTACTCCTGAAGTGTACCCCCTACAGTGCCCCTGCTTTCCATTCCAGAGGTTTGCCAGAGTTGCTTTGAGGCTGGCTTTTCCCAGGGCCTCTCCAAAAAGCCTGCAATGCCCCATACCCATGTGAGTGTGTGAAGGGAGGATCGTTAAAGGGACTTGTTGGCCTGGCTGAATAGGTGGATGGCCTCGCCTGTTCAGCCAGGCCAACAAGTCCCTGAGACTCTTCACCAGCATTCTTGTGAACTGGATCAGCGCTGGGCCTGAGGCTGATGACGTTTCATGATTTCACCACCACATGAGAACGGACAAGTACACATACTGAAAAATGGCCATGAACTCCTGTAAGCCCCTTATGGCCTGCTTTCTGGATGAAATAATGAGCTGATGTTTAATAGCTTTGTTGCACAGACCAGCTGTCACTGGGCATACTGGCTGTGGAAAACACTGCAGCAACATGTGCTTCAGCTAAACAAACAAATACACTGAGAATAATGCAATGAATCATTGGGACGCCATTTATGCAGGGACACATTTATAAGCTGCCAGGATTTCTAGAAACACCTGCAGCCATTTGCTGGTCTTTGAGCACCTCTCATTTTCAGCTGTGAGATCTTTAAAAGCAGCATCCCAGAGAGATCAGGGTGTGAGGTTTGGCAACGCCCAGGAATTCCACTTCCTCTTGAATTCCTGTAAGCTTCTTACCGCCTGATTTCTGCCAACATGACACTGAATGAGCAACCGTGAACGCAGATCTGGACGTGCTGCAGCTTCTCTGAATATCCTCCTGCTGTGGGCCACTGAATGGAAAGACCTGATGTTTTGTTTCTGAACGCCTCGGGCTGTTTCATCCTGTCAGGGTCTTCAATCAGAGCCACATCTTAGATCCCTAAACCTACATAGATCTGACCAAAACCAAACCTGAGGGTATCTGTTAAACATCACTATAATTCAGAAAGGTTATATTTGCAAGCTGCTTATAATGAGATCAGAGAAATCAAACATCCATGGCTCCTTTAGATGAAAACCAGCTTTAAAGACGAAGCTGATCTTTTCATCATAAACTCTGTTTGTTGGTGTGAAGACGTTAAAGAGAAATGAGATGGGAAGCAGCCGCTCTAAGAGTTTCTCTCTCCCTGCAGGAACGGAGACGGTTTTGTTGACCGGGAAGAATTTGGAGACATCCTTCATATGACTGGAGAACAAGTCACAGAAGAAGATATTGATGAAATGTTTGGTGAATCAGACACAAACAAAGACGGAAAAATAGATTTTGATGGTAAGACTGAGCTTTTAGCAGCATTTTACAGAAACCACCTTATAATCAAACCCACTACCAAGGAAAAGAGTTTTTATTTCCAGTTATACATTTATTATAACTATCAACACACTGATCAGAGTGAAAACAGTCAGTCCACCTGATTCATGGGAGCACTGGGAACACACCAGAGAGGTTGAAGTGGCGACATCTAGTGACCGCATACGGTACTGCAAGAAGGACACATACATTGGCCCTTATTTAGGAAGACAATTTTATAGCTAATAAGCAAAGATTCATAACTACTTATGAACACTGACTTTAGGCTATAACAGTAGAAATACGTTGGACAGATGATGGATAAATACTTTAAATGACTGCATCTCCTGAGGGAAGTGAAAGCAGCCATACCTGTTAGTCAGCCTTCCGTAGTTCCCACAAATGTATTTATAGTCATGAAACTTTTCTATTTTAAGTGTCCTCTCAGCAAAGTAGCTCTCTGAATAGCTGTCTGAGCACCAAGAGAGGAAGAAGAGAAGACCAGGAGATTTCCTTTCAAAGTGGAGCCGTATGGCTTAATGGATAAAAACTGGTAGATTCAGGGTGACATCGAATGGCAGGGATGGAGAGACGGAAAATAAAGGGAAAAGGAAGGGAAGGAATGGAGAGAGGAGGGCTAAAAAGTTAAAAGAGAGGACAGAACAGAGAAGAAAAAAGGTTAAAAACAGAAGTCTGCTTCTACACCTGCAGAAAGAGAAATATTTCATTAGAAACACAAACCTCACAGCGTTGATCTGCTTCTCTATCTGAAGGCCAAATTAGTCAAACTAGCGGGAAACAGTTTTCAGAAATTTGCTCAGATCAGGATATTCAAAGCTTGATCTGCATCGGTTTAAACCCTCTCTACAAATAAGCCTCTAAATAAAACCCAGTGCAGCCAATTAAAATTAAAAATGAAAACCCTTTTATACGTTGAGCTGTTCTGTGGAGGCCTCAGCTGTTCTGTTTGAGAACATGAAGACCAAAGAACCCAGCTGGCAGCTCAGAGGTCAACTAATAGGGATGTTTAAAGTTGGGTCGGGTCAAGATACAAAATCCCATCTCCTCTCATCTCGTCATTTGAAAATTAAAAGAGAGTAATAGACCTATAAAGCCAAGCCAATATAACGTCTTTCCTAAAGCAGTGGATCACTCCCTTTTAACTTCCTGTTCAAAGGGAGTTTTTCCTCTCCACTGTCGCTGCAAGCATGCTTAGTGTGAGGGATTGCTGAAGAGTCAATGAGT